ATATATATAATGACAATTTGGACATTCAGGGGCCCAGCGTTTTCCCTAAGCGGCTCTTCCTGGCCTTGGCGGTACTTTGCAATAGGCTTTCCCTTGTCTCTTGCCTTAACTCTCGGACCAACTTTCTAGGATGTAAAATTTATCTTGGTATCTTACTAGTAAAAATGCAACTTCATCTCAAACACTTAAAGTAAAAAATAAGGAACAAATAATCATCAATGACATTGAAGAAAATATCCAAAATTGGAATATACCAAAGGTACCAATCCATGACATTTATAATAAGGGATCATTCAAATTTAAAAGGGCTATGCCATCAAGACAGTAGAAGAAAGTCTATCTGTAACTCAACATCAAGAAGATTTTCAACTACTATCAAAGAAAGTTATTGAAAAACACAAAGAAAATAATTACAAATATGTACATATTGGTTTAATCCAAATAGCAGTGAAACCTTTGACCCGATTAGGGTTGAACACCTCTGTGCTTGTATGCCTAAGAGATACAAGACACAATATTTTCACAGACTCGCTACTTGGCGTGGTTGAATCCAGCCTATGTAGTGGTCCAATATATTTTAATTGTTTTCCCAATTTTTCTGTTTCTTTGACTAACCCAAATATATTAGATATACTAACAATAAATCTAAAAACACATGGTTTTAATATGATGCATGGTTCTCAAAACTTAGCAATAGTATATAGAATATACTACAAAGTCATGAATACCTTATGTCCAAATATTATGAAAATTGATCAAAAAGATTAAACCATATTATTCCAAACAAATATGGAAAAATCCAATATGATTGTTCCTAAAACAATAAAATGGTCAGATATTATTTTACCACAGTCATGGGCATTACAATATGCCAATCAACCTCAACAGGTTCCTCAAAACCATATTCCAAACCAGATAATAGAACATCCTGATGGAAATATTGAAATAAAATTTCAACAATTACAAGTTCAAGATGATATTAATATTCATAGGAAAAAGAATATAAAACATAAAACACCAAGTAGAAAATCATATTCTCATAATCCGAATGTGATAATACTACCTTCTCCTAGTCAACCTTCTTCATCCATACCTAGTTCCGATTTACAATTCCAAGGAACCCGGAGAACAACAGATCCTGTTGTTATTCCCACATACACTCCTGAATCTAGTATAGCAAATACTCCTGAACCTAGTTCAAAAGATTTACAAGATTTCCAAATATTAACTTTACAAATAGAAGATGATATAGAAGAAGACAATCAATATGATCAATATTCAGATGAATATATAGCAGCATATTTAGCAGCCAAATTAGAAAGAAAAAGGAGAAAAGTTAATAAAGAATATATCAGGAAAGATTATTTATCTGAAGAAAATAAACATATTAGAGAATGGTATCTAAAAACATTTCAACCCAGATTAATGGAATTAATGCACAAAAAATATAACAAATTCCTGAAGAAAGAAAGATTAAATAAAGGATTTTTTATATGGTTAAAAGAAATATGTATTGAATATATAATTATTATTCCCTCATTTGAAAAAATTCAAACAATAGAAGAGAAAACTTATATCAGTACAGA